TTCTTCTCTCTGCAAGTAGGGGTGTTCAAACAGATTGGTTACTGTGGTAACCATATTAACCGGTAGCATTCGGTTAATTTGGATAATTGGTTTGGTTTGGTTAAACAATTTAGCTTATTTGGTTTAGGTGATTTGGTTTGGTTTCAACACTGCTAACCAATGAAATCACTTAACCAATTAATGATACACCTAATATACAAAATTATTTATACTTCCATGCAACCAACCAAACCAAACTTTTGTGATTCCCTATTTTATATTCATGTGCACAACAAACCAAAGCATTATGGGTCACTAAATTAAATGGGTCTGCCTATTTACTAAATCAAAACATTTTGGATAGCTACTAGACTTTAGGATTACGTACAATACCATGACAGCCACCTCAAACTATGTATAATTTAAGTGTTTTGTAGGAGAGTTTTAACTTCCCAGTGAGTGGTATTGGTATGTATTTAATATTTATGTTAATGGTTTGTTGTAAGCTAAGAATATTAGGTGCAGAGATGATGAATGATGTATTAACTCGAATGATGATGATAATCATGCATGGTTAGTCTTATTATTATTGCTTATATATAATGATAATTTATGATAGTAATAACATATGGTTATGTTTTATTCGTTAACAGGATAATTGTTTTCATGTAATGTTATGTTATTTGGTTGATCCAATTATCCGATTAACCAAACCAACTTTGGTTTGGTTAATTTAGTTTTCGTGTTAATTTGGACGGTTTGGTTAAGACATTTTATTCCATGGTTAATGAAATTTAGGCTTAATTGGTTTGGTTATTACCACGGTAACCATTTGAACACCCCTATCCGCAGGGAATAAATACAAATGTTGTCATGGGAAGGACAAACCGAACTCTATGTGTTTGTAGTATAGCCTGTTGAAATATACACATGTCTAGACCCGACTGATTGGACATCTCCACCTGGGGTTTATTGGCGGGATTTTTGCTCATCAAAGACCAACGTTAAATTGATTGGGGGTTGACGGAGGTCCGAGAAACGGTTTCAGCTTCTTTAGAGCAGCACAGATCCTGATAGTATCTCAACCAAAACAATTTGTTTTGTCATGCCTAATGTTGATAGAAGTTGTTTACCTAGAGGAGAGCCCCAAAAAGTTAGCTCTTAGAGTTGCGATACAAAAATGGGTAAGGTAGAAACAGTTTATACAAAAAACCATACTATGATCATATATAACACGTTGGTAGTGTTAGTCGTCAATTTCATTTTATTGACGAAGCCAACGAGGAGAAGAGAGGAATCGTCATTGGTACTCTAAATTTTACAAGGCTATTATACTAATCATTTCTTTCATTTCATGTAAATTCATATTATGACTGAAGTGATATTACCTCAAGCCATAAATTGCAACAATGAAATGGTCGTTTGGATTAATGTGTACGGATGCAAAATGTCATGTAACTGCCACGAAGGAGTAAGAAAGGACCAATCAATGTGTTTGCTGTCGAGAAGGACAAAAATCGTGATAACGGAGAGGTTACATGACAATTGACTTATACATATAGAAGAGATAGAAAGTGCAGAGCTGTGAGTCATTTGTGTGTTTAGTGTAGTAGAGTGATTATGAGTGATTTGGTAGGATTTCACAGTGATAGAGGTATTGACAACACTTGTTATTCGTTGGTGTTACTAGCATATGTTGCCTGCTGATTCGGGCCCAAATGTACACATTTTACCCCTCATTTCTTATTCATTTAGCTTAGTATTTCATCGTTCCTCGACATATTTCACGCTAGGTTGTGCTTGTTTTGATACATTTCAGGTCCTAGCACGTGTGGAAGGGTCGATGATGAGTTTTGGGATATTTGGAGGTCCAAAAGCGCAAAAACCGAAGTCGTAACAGTGAAGTTAAGGCGTCCAAGGAAACAGCCGCAGTTCACGGTCGGACGAGGCAGTGCATGGTCTCCTAAGACCGTGAACTTCGACCACAAACCGTGAATACCGAGGCGTCCAACGAGGTTCCTAAAGTTACTGACGACGAGGCAGTTCATGGTCTCTAAGACCGTGAAGTGTGGCCAATGATCGTGAACCCAGAACAGTGAAGCGTTGCGTTGTGGACGACGTTGAGTTCATGGACGCGTTTAGGTGTTCACGGCCGTGAACTGGCCAACGCGTCCGTGAACTGGTCACTTCCGGACAAACAATGCAGTCAAAATTGGGATTTTGTTCGTAAAATCGTAGGATTTTAGGATTTTACTTAGGGATTCCGATCGTGATTTTACTATAAAATCTCTGGACCTTAAAATCGTTCCAAATCGGGACTAAAATCGTTAAAATCGTACCAAAATCGGGATTTTGATCCTATGTGAACAAATAAGGCAGCTCGAGCCAATTCAAAAGAAGCAGAACTATTTTGGTGGAAAGGGCAATGACGACTATCTTCTCCTATATTTTTCCTATTAAAATAACATTTGAAAAGAAGAAAAAAAACCTAATTAAGGTTCGGTCAACCCCTTTCCCTTCCCTTGTTTAACTCATTGGTAAAATAGTTGTCATAATATTGTAAGTACGAAAGAATTAACGTAATCATTAAAAAATTAATTGATTAATGAATATATTTGTACCAAACCATTGACATTAAAATTCTTATTGGAGTTCACTTATTCTTAGTTTTAAATCATGTTTAGTAGACGATGTCAGAATACTACTTTGAGTTAAACTACATAGACACAATCACACAACATGAAAAACAAGAGCCAAACCCCATGAGCTATATCCCTTCCTCATAAATTACTTTGAGTTACCCATTAAATAACAATTAAAATGATGATTTTGGAATATTAATCTTGAACATTATCACTTTAAATGTTATATGTCTTTGTGTTATTAATGATTTACCTTATTAATATTATTATATGTTAATTTCTATGTGGTACTTAAAATCCTACGATTCCAATTTTACCCCAGTTTTCGATTTTAGGTAAAATCCCGATTTTGACTGCTTTGCCGGCAAATATGAAGACAACAGCGGGGAGAGAGAAAGAGGAGCTGGTTTTTGGAGAAAAACACTTTCTTTCTCTAGGGTTTCAACCTAAACACCAAAGGGGAGCTCTAGTGAGAGAGAGAGAGAGAGAAAGAGAGAGAGAGAGAGAGAGAGATTGCTAGAGTGATTTTGGAGCATCATTGGAGGCTTGGGTGGAAGATTCAACCCTAGAAGAAGAAGATCTTGAGCTCAAATTTGTAATCCCTCTCTCTCTAGAAACTCACTCTTTTCTCTTGGGTGGTGTAGATCCCTAACTAATACTTTGTAATTACTTGTTTAGATTGAATGATTAAGTGTGGGTTTGCATCAATTTGAGTATTAGAGGTATTTTTATGGTGATTGTGCATGCTCGTGCTTAGCAATCTAAGGGTTGTGCATGTTTTATGCTTAGGATGCTTAGGTTTGTGCATGTTGGTGCTAGCAATCTAATTAGCCACCATAACCTAGCTTAGAGAGGAAAATCCCCCTTCCAAGGGAGACTCAATCGAGCTGGTTTTCCTTAAGCTTTTTAAGCAACCTAACTAGGTTAATTTAGGGCAACCCTCAATGTTGAATTAAACAAATTGGTTTATCGCGATTAAGCCGTCCTACCTTTGAGTTGAGTGAGGGAGTAATTCAACTATCGATTGCCTAAACCGAGAGGGTCGAGTGACATGGCCTTTAATGTTTACCTCGGTTTAGCAATCGAGATTGTGGTCTACAACCATATTTGCATCCCTCTGCGGTTCGCGGTTACCAGTTTGCATCTAGGTGGGTTGTGATTAAGCAGCTCAAACTCCGGTTTGAGGGAGAGACCTACGCAACCACTAGTGACTGAGTGAGAGGATCGATCCTGTGACAAATCGACCTCCAGTGAATCCATCTCGTGACAAATGGATCACTAGTTGCTCCTCCTAGTGGTTCCCCTAGATTTGGTGAGTGGATCGATCCTGTGACAAATCGATCGCTCGTGATTTGATTCTGTGACATATCGATCACTAGTTGCTCACCCTTGCGGTTCACAACCACATATGCCACACGACTCCATTCAATCCAACGAGTCATGGTAGCTAGTTAGGGGGGAAACAACTCAAGGGTGAAGCTCCCTTAGTTAGACTTTTCCTTGCTAGTTTAGTTTGTAGTTATCTTAGTTTTAAAACCCAAAATCGGTTTGCTAGATAACAACTTAAGCGATTAAAGTAGGGGTACATGGACCAGTCCGAGTCGATATTTAAATACTGGCTCTATACTGCACCCGACTAGAGTTTTAAAAACTTGGACTCTAGTCGGGATTAATTTGTGGTGTAGTTTCGTGCGAGTCACCTGCCTTTTTCTTTTGTTTGTATCTAAGATTTCTACAGCAGATTGCATGCTCTGTATTTCTTTTCTTTTTCTGTCATTTTAATTAACAAAACTATTTCTCAGAAAAAAACTGGCCTATTTATTTCATCGACTTGATTTGGACATTGCTGGTTTTGGTTTTCTCAACCAGGGATTCATCACCTTTGGTGTCATTGTGGTTTTTGGTCTAAGGGCAATCCATATTGGATTTTCCTTATGATATCTCTTGCCGACTTCCATTTTCACCATCGAAAATTGGAGTCAGGTAAGCATTCCTTTGATTTTTTTCATGTTCACTGTAGAGGCATTAAGGTGTTTGGCAATAGTGTGCATTCATTTGGATTGTCAATTATAGTGTTTATGTTTTATTATTTCTTTTGCAATGCATTGAGATAATAACTTTCCATTAGAGTATTATAGTGTTGTTGTCATTGACCTACCACTATCCATCGTCGCAAACATGTTAATGGGTAATATAGTCCGAATCAAAGTATCAATTTCTTTCTAAAAAATGTATCAATTTCTGAAACTACGAGTACGGCCATTAGACCAAATAATAAGCTAATATTTTGTTAAACTAAAACAAATTGTACTTCTGATCGAACAATTCAACTTGCTGAACGACATGATGATATAAACCTGTTTCACAACTTTCACCCTGGTCCAAAGTCCTCGAGCAGGTGCGAAATAGAGGGAACCTACTGACGTGTCAAAGATCTTCTTCCGTGCGTATGGCTCTATTCTTTCTCCCTTTCGTATGTTTCCCTCATTTCCCAATTCCCATGATATCCCCTTTGCTCGCTTTAACCCGTTGAGCTGGGCGAGCGAGCGAACCGAGACCCTCTGTATTCTCCTTGTTACTTTCTCTGAATCCTTCTCTGTCCTTTTCTCGTTCCTCTTCAGGTAACACTCCTGGCCTGTCTGGATCGGCTCTTTAAGATTCCGATTTATGTTGCTTCGATTTCCTGGTGTTTCCTATGCGTAATCTATTCTGGAGTTTCTATTTTACTCAATAGTTCAGTTTCTTTGTTCATAAATTTCCCCTTGTTCCAGGGTTTAGCAATAGAAACAATGGTTTTTTGTTTCGGGAAGATGGGTTCTCGTTCAAATGGAACTCAAGGGCGAGAATTCAGAGAATTTTATTTATACATGTTCAGTTTACTTGGGATTGAATGTCAAAAGTTTGTGGCGTTTCTGGGTCTTCTCTTTCTGCTTTGCTTCTGTTTCTGTTTCACGGCAAACAAACGGGAGTCGATTTTGTAGATAGTGAGCTGAAAAAACTGACGTTTTACATCACCGGTGAAGGATTTGGAAGTAGATTTGGTACAGTTTGATTTGGGTTGTTAACTAAATTTGTAGTATTGTCAGGTTAAGCCAATAAGTAAGCTAGGCAGAGAGGGATGAGATAACTACCATGTGGATTCATTGCCCCGGACCCAGTTCTTGCAACAAGTTAATGTCATTTCCCTGTACAGTCTTCTATCGCCATTTCAGAAGTTTCTTGGAGAAGTCGCAAACAGCTTCCCAAAGCTGAGGCATTGATTAAAGGGCTTTCGTTTATCATGCCATACTATATACAAAGGCTCTACAATACCTGCAACGCGTCATTCTCACCTAATGGCCCAGCATCAGAAGAAGCACTTCAAAAAATTCGCAATATGTTAGGTACTTTGTTTATCAGAATGATTTCAGTTTCCTCAACTGCATATGTTGCTTCATATATTATATCTTACATTCGAATGATGTGGCATGGATTGGAATGAATGATTGTTTGTGAGAAATCATGCCTGTTACACATTTGAGATGCTTGATGTTCTTAGCTACAATTGCTTGGTCCTTGAGTGGCGCGTAAAGGCTCAAGCTTCAGCTGAACTAACTCATGTTGGAACATCAATGAAACTTGGGGACTTATCATGTTCTCTTGCTAAATGTTGTTTGATAATCGATCTTCTAAGACCTCCAATCCATGCTCCAGATAAGCCAACCCTTCAACATTTTTTTTCTGCTTTTATGTTGATGACCCTTGATTAAATTATAATCATAGTTTTTATTTTATTTCCAGACATTTGTCCCTTGATACTAAAAAAACGTTTTCTAGACTCATCCCCTTCATGGTGGGGTATTCTAGCTCCTTTAGTTATCAAGGTTAATTTCAATGGCCACCAGACAAATGACAACTACTATTCTATGTGCTCTTCTATATGTACATTCTGGTCCTCTACCTTCTCTTGGGTTGAAGTTATATTATCTGAGATTGAAGCTGTTTGATAGACTTCTTATGCTACGGCTTGTTCTATTCACTTTAGTCTTACATGCTCAGATTGTGGCTGGTTAAGAATAGTCTGGAAACCTACATCTAGTTTTACCTGTATTTGAGAAGGGAATTCCTCTTTTAACTGATGTAGTCAGATTTAGGTTTATTCTCTTTAAACTACACTTCTGACTCTATGATGACATCATCAAAGGGTGTATGTAGGTCGGGTTGATTAAGGGGTTGGGTTCGTAAACAGAATAAGTAATTGTGTTTTTTGTTAAAAATAATGAGCAACAATATGTGAATAGTTTCACCAACTTTAATGGATGTTTCATTCGTCTCTAACCCCAGAAAGGTCCTTTAAAATGTTGATTGTCACTATGCCTCATTGTTTGGAACTCTGTCTCCCGTGTAAGTGAATCTTAAAATGGTTCTGCACTTTTTATACTGTATGTATCTTATTATCTATTACGTGTCTGACCTTGGACTCCATCTACTACTATTCTTTATTATTCTTCTTTCTTTTGTTTTGTTCTATGGTTTGTTTTTTGTTTATAATAAGCTCTCTTGGTTATAACTTTTTCCTTATTGGATATTCTTTTTGTTCTCTTACTGAATAATATTTGCTTGTGATCAGTTATACCGGGTTCTTAACCAGTTTCTATTTCTATTGAAATCCATGATTCCCTTCTATCATAATTACATTTGCTCAGCTTGAAGCAGTTGTGGCACAGGTTAATTCGTTATTGATAGAACATAAACATAAACAGGAACATGTGAATAAGGATCGGCAAATACTAAACTTATGGTTATCCTTGGAACTTCTTAAATTATGGAACATAAATGGATGCCGCTGGAAGGGATTTCATTGACTTTAGCATCTGTTTTTAATGAATGTTCTTCCATCTGGTTGTATGTCAGTTTGTAGCTCTTTCCACAATGCCTTGAGCTTTTTTTCTAATAATTTGGTGATATTCTTTCCTCATATGCAGAACGTGACTTGGGTGTTCTACTACTTAAACTCCTTATGGTTTATTCATGTGATATTCCTGTTTATCTTTCCTGAAAATTTTTGGTAACATTGCATACTAGTTTTTTTTTTTTTTATTGCAGAGAAAATGAAACCCTCTGATGTAGGTCTTGAGCAAGAGGCACAATTAGTACGCAATTGGTCAGCACCTTTGCAAGAACGCAATTGGCGGCGTCCTACACTGCCACCAATCAAGTACCTCCATCTGCATGAGTGTGACAGCTTCTCTGTAAGCACTTAATTTCTTCCGGTCATTCCTTGTTTCTTGCAGTTTCGAGCTAATTTGTGAAGCACCTGCAGCCTGATTGTGATCCTTTAAGACATTATTCGCCTTGAGGATAATTCAATGGAAACTGAATGTCTATACTTCCAACGAACTCATAATTGCACTCTTGAAGCACCTATATCTGCCACTTCTGCAGATTGGAATTTTCTGCATGCCACCGACTTCAATCATACCTCTTCATAATCATCCTGGAATGACAGTGCTAAGCAAGCTTATATATGGAACAATGCATGTGAAGTCATATGATTGGCTTGATTCATCCGAGCCTGTTGACACGGCGCAAGGTGTGTATGCATCAAATTAAACAGTTGATGGAAGAAACATCATGAACTGGTAGCGAGAGGATTCAGAGGTCCTTGGCAAGGAAGAAATGCATCCTATTTATCTTATCATTAGCTTTCTTTTACTTGGGTATGTATCTGATGTTTATTGCCTTCCTACTTCAGCAAGGCCTGCCAAGCTTGTTAGAGATGATGAGATGAATGCACCGTGTAATTCAACAGTTCTTTATCCTACCACTGGAGGCAACATCCACTGTTTCAGGGCTGTAACCCCATGTGCAATCTTTGATATTCTATCTCCACCTTACTCTTCAGATCATGGAAGGCACTGCACTTATTTTCGGACGTCACCAATAAGGGATCTACCTGGTAAAAGAAGTTCCTCCGCATTGATTTTCTTGAGGCAAAAAGTTTTGTAGCTCCATTGACTTTTTCCAGAACTTATCATTCTCTTATTTATGCGAATGAAGGTGAGCTTGAATTGGATGGAGTGACAGTTTCAGACGTTACATGGCTGGAAGAGTTCCAACCACCTGATAACTTTGTGATAAGGAGAGGTCTATACAAAGGTCCGGTAATTAGAACTTGAGATTCTAGTCTTTTTTCCTTGTTTCTCTTCTTCTGGTGTTTGGAGCATTTTAATGACAGTCGATTATTGTCATCACACCATATAACAAAACCTTTGGTTAGGTATTTGTTTATATATAGCCTTGAGAATAATCGAGATTTGATGGAATGGGAATGGCTGGCTGTATAAGTTGGTGCAATTTGACTCTGTGCATATAGCTTGCACGAAGCAGGGGATACCTATTTGATTACCGTAGACCTTTAAAGTTTACAGGGGGATTAATGGTAGATGATTTCATTTTGCCTTGATATCCTTGTTGACCTTAAATGACTTGCTGGTCAGGAACGTGAGTACAGTGTACACGATTGATTATTCGAATTACATATATTTTTCACATTTGTCACCCAAATTATTATTTATTTATTTATTAGCTACTAACTTTACAATTCATTTTACCGTTAGTCACCGACCGTCAGTCTACGTTAACATCGTTAGATTTTTTATGATGTGGCAAACAGAACTGCTGACTAGGCGGTTTAACTTAGTGACATGTCAATTTAAAATAAAAAAAAAATATTACATATCATTTTCTCCTAAAATCATAGAAAAATAGTTGTTGTATATATTAAAAAAATATGTCGGCGGTGGCAGTAACCCTGCAACGATCTTCTTCAACTCTCCACTTCCGTGGAGCCCTCGAATCTCGTCCAGCCCGTCGATGCAACTCTCGCCGATGAGGACTGACGGGAGTGTCACCGTCCCGGTGGTTCCAAGGAACTCCTCACCTTGCTGAGGTATTTCCTGTCTATTGACAAATCTCGCTCGTCGATCCAGACTCGGAAATCGTGGAGGATCGATCTGACGGTGTAGCAGTCCTCGAACGTCTGCCGCACGATGCGGAGGCTGGTGAAGTAGAGGACGACACGATCCTGCTGCCGAGCACCCTTCAGTTGCGGGAGAGCAGGAGGACGGAGGTGGAGATCCGAAAGTGATAAAAGATGGAAGGCGTCCGGGGCGAGATGGACGGAGGAGCGGTGGAAGATGGAATGTGTCCTTCTCTCCCTCTCCCAAACCAAACACCAATGAAGAAAATTCCAAATTCCGAATCCCTCCTTGTGGAATTCTCTGCAAGAGTCTCTCATGTGGCTAGATTGATTGAAATCGCCAACTAGGGTTTCACCGCCGTTATCGAATTTGACTTTGATATCTATATCGATGCATAAGAAAAAATTATCCTCCTCCTTCAAAGACATCCAAACCCTCATTTTCGAGCTGGACCATGGCGGCAAAATGGAATCGACTCTATAGCTCCTCCATCCATCTCGCCTCAGACGCCTTCCATCTTCCACCGCGTCAAGATCTCCACCTCCATCTCCGCAAGTCTCTCCCTCATGCTGAGAAGGAGAGGCTACTAGTGATCCTCATTGGCCGGAGGTGCATCGTTTAGCTGGACCTATATATATAGGTAGCTACTTCGGCAATACATCGAATTTTGAACTTTAATTGGTAATATTAGTCTAATATGATGATATAAAATAAAATCACAACTAATCAATCTATTAACCTGTCCCCTTAACCTTCAATTTTGAATCCCAACCCTAAATCCTAAATTATGAACCCCAACCCTAAATCCCTAAATCATAAATCCTTCAAATTAATGTAAATATTGATTTTTTTTTTTGCAAATACATGCGTTTCTTGTTCATAACATCATAAGCGACAATTGATACCGTTTTGCGTTTTGACATGAATTGCATGCTCGGAATGACGATTATGAGGCGAGTGCATTGAATGCACAAAAAAGTGGGTGCACTGAAAACGCCAACCAGTAGTTTCATTTGCCACATCATAAAAAATTTAACGGTGTTAATGGAGACTAACGGCGGGTGAAACGAATCGTAAAGTTAGTGGGTAATAAAAAAGAATAGTAATTCGAGTGGCAAATGTGGAAGATATATGTAATTCGAGTGACCAATCGTGTAATTTAGTCGTTTCTTTATTTACCGGACTTTTAGAGTGCCTCTCAAACAATACAACTGTTCACGAAATCAGAATCAACAAAAAAGAAACTAATCCAATCTGATCGCATGAAGACTCTTCTACAGCTCCAAATCAACTTCTGCTCTTCATACCAACACTCTGCAAATCTCACTACAAATAACCCTAGGGGGCTTAACAACCTTCACCCCATACAATCTAGCACACCGTTCCCGCCAAAGCAGACTAACGACAAGACTCCAGAACGCTCTACAAGCAACTGCTTCAACACATTTACCCTTCTAGTTGCTGACACACCACTCAATCACTTCCTCCCATGACCGTAAACCATCAACAGGAGCAAGGGAAGATAGACACTTACTAACAACAAACTTGATAAAGGAGCAGGCATATAATATGTGAAAACAAGTCTCAATCCCTCCCGGACATAACACACAGTACCCTGTAACAGACTTTCCCCAAGCAATCAATATCCTGGGTGGGCAGTCTGCAGAGAACAGCAAGTCAAAGGATAAAGCCATGTCGTGGTACCACTTCTTTACTCCAAATCAATTCATTCCACCCAATAGTTGGAGAGTGAGGCCTAATAGCTTCCCATACTCTTTTGACAGAGTACCGTGACATAGGCTCCCCATCCAGAGCAAAGAACTCCCTTGGCCAGACACAAGGTGCTAGATTTCAGTTCGACACTTCAACAGACGTAGCTAAATCCAGGAGCCAGCAGCTCCTACCTTCAAATCCCAAAAAGACATATGTTTAACACAATAACGAAGAATCCATGCAACCCATAGTGAACTACTAGATATAAGGACACTCCAAACATGCCGAATCACGCAAGCCTTATTCCAAATCACGAAGTTTCTAATGCCAAGACCTCCTTCCTTTTTCGGACGAGCAACATACTGCCAAGCAACCAGAGATCTTGTTCTCATAATAGTATCCGATACCCAAAGGAACTGATTACAAATCCTCTCTACATCTGTGATGACATACTTAGGGAGCAAGAAAATGTTCATCCAATACTGTAATATGCTTGACAGCACCGAACTTATAAGCTGGACCCTACCTACAAAGCTCAACATCTTATCCCTCCAACTCTGAACTCTATGGGTGATTTTATCAACCAAGACACGACAGTCCCTCGTTCAAAGTTTACTGGTAATCAAAGGAACCCCCAAGTATTTTAATGAGAGCTTCCCAAGAGGGAAACCAGAATAAACATATATAGAATGCTTTTCTTCTTCCGAGATTCCTGCACAGAATAGCTGACATTTTGCGGGATTGCAACGAAGGCCAGATAATCTATAAAATTCATCGAACATTCTTCTAACACCCGCTACACCCCTAATTGACCCGTTTGTAAACACTAATAAATCATCAGCAAAACAGAGATGAGTTATAGCTAGGGTTTTACAACGGGGGTGATAAGAAATTTGATTCTCTAGTGCAGCCTTCTTCATTAACCCATCTAAAACTTCCATAGCAATTGCAAACAAATAGGGGGACAGAGGGTCACCCTGCCTTAACCCTTTCTTCATTCCAAAGAAACAGCACTATCCACCATTAAGAGATACACTGACCATAGGAGTGCAAACACAGGCTTGAAGCAAATTAAGAAACTTCCCTTTAAGTCCCATAGAAACCAAGACAGCAAACATAAAATTCCAATTGACAAAGTCAAAAGCCTTCATTAAATCAATTTTAATCACACAACGTGAACTAATTGATTTAGATTGATAACCCTTAACTAGTTCAGAAGCAAGGGGGATATAATCCGTTATAGACCTTCCTTTAATAAAAGCAGATTGCAAGTGACTTACTAGGGAAGGGAGAACAGCAGCCAATCGATTAGCTAGAATTTTAGCAATTCCTTTGTATAGTGTATTACAACACGAGATCGGTTGAAAATCCTTCATATGAACATCATTATGCACCTTGGCTACTAAGTTGAACACAGTAGCATTGATTTTTCTAGGCATATGCTCAGTCTGATAGAACTATGAAACAATAGCAAACACATCAGCTTTAATCAAATCCCAGTGAAGCAGATAGAATTCGATTGGAAACCCATCTGGCCCAGGGGCTTTTGTTATTTGGCTATGTCTTACACCATTCTTATTCTGAATTGAAAACAAGGATTGTATATTAATGACTAAAAGTTGTGCTGAAGAACATCAATCCCTCAAGCATAAGGAACTCTAACTGACATAGAGATTAAGATCAGAAGTTCCTTATCAAAAACGAGAAAACCCTAAATGACTAGAGCTAAGAACTAGAAGAATACACTTAACAGGAGCTGAGCCCAGATTGACGAGAGTTCCTGGAAAACATCCCCAACTCTAGCAATCTAGACACTTAAACTGAACCCAAACCAAACACTCCAAAGAACTGACCCGTTCTTACTGAGTAGAGGAAACTGTTGTTGATCTGATTCCACGAGAGGTCTTTAAATAGAATCACTAGCGCCCTTCTATTATCTCTTTCTTCTTCAATGAAGTTACCGTTGATTGAAGTATCGGAAGGAGGATTGATGTATTCGATATTATCGGGAGGCTTTTACTGCTCGATGTTTTGATGATGATGATGATGATAGGGAATGAAGTGAAGACGCCAACAGGGATCTTGACGCAGACAAGGTGATAGCGTCGTATTTGCACATGTTTTCACTCTTATTTCCTAACCATTTTAGCTCGAATTTGTTGTTCCTTGGCCTATTTTACGCTAGGTTGTGTTGTTTTGTCGTATTTCAGGTCCTAGCAAGTAAAGAGGTGCATAGGCGCAAGTTTCGGGTCATTTGGAGGTCAGTTGGCGATTCAAGATGCAAATTACGGGCAGCTCCTGCCCATTTACGAGCGTAATTGCTTCTGTCATGCCCGTAATTGCAATGCCGAGCCAAATTCTGGAGAATTCCTGTCGCAGAGCAAATTACGGGCAAGAGTCAAAGTAACTACGGTCGTAATTCCTCAAATACTGGCAGTAATTGGGTAATTACGACCGTAATTCCTCTCATCAGTGTTAAGTGAAACACACGTTTTGGGCGAATTACCGACAGACCTTGTTTACGACCGTAATTTAGCCCGTATTTCGCCCATAATCGGGTTTTTGAGGCAGATTCGATCCAAAGGAGAGGGAGTCAACTTTTTGGAGCAAAAACAGAGTTTTAGAGAGAGAAAGTGCGAAGAACAAACCGTAGGAGGTATTTGGAGTGGATTTCTCACCATTGAAGCCCAGATTGCATCCCCAGGAGTGAAGATCATCATCCGGGAGCAGATTATCCTCATTTTTATGAGTATGACTACTCTGATTACTGTTTTCCTCTCTCTCTATGGAGTAGAACTTTCTCTCACTTGGGTGTGAAGAACCCTAGTTCCATGTGTTAGGAATGACTTGGGATTGTTATACTGTTTGATTTTAATCGATTGATGCATGATTCATTGAGTCAATTGAAGTTTGATAATCTTTTCTTGATTTCTGCTGCAACCTGAGATAGATAGAATATGATTAGGTTGTTAGAGCTTCATCAATCGGTAGTGGTAGATTGGTTATACGAGAGTTAATCAATTTACTGCTTTGTACTAGAACCCAATTCCAGTACTGGAGTTCTGTGCTTATTGCCTCAGCAGTCTATCCCGGTGAAGGTTAGTCGCCTGTCGGTTAGCCTACCTGAGAGGGCTTGGCCAGCTTAAGATATTCCAAGCTACTGTCGGATCTTCCGCAGTTTAATTAACAGTTAATCAACCTAGGGTAATTACAACTGAGACCTAACTAAGGAGCTAGGGGGACTCATTCCCGAGTGACTCTTCCCTTGCTTTAGAAAACCGAACCATTTCCTGCTTTCTTACTGCTTTTAATTAAAATCAAAATCACTCAACTTAGTTTGCTAGATAATAGATATTCACGGAGTAGGCAGTAGATTAGACCCCGGGTTGACAATTAGAGCATGCCTGTTACTGCATTTCCGGACTGCGATTACACTTGTTCGCAGTTCGGTGTTGTGTTTTAGCGTGTCAAGTTTTTGGCGCCGTTGCTGGGGAAACTCTAGGTTATTGGGGGAAACGTGAAAGTTTATTACTCTAGATTTTTCTTTACTGCATTTTCTCTCTTCCACCTGTGTGCCTTCACGGGTTGCTTTTGCTGATTGGGTGTAGGTAGTGTAGGACCCGTAGCCAGTCGAGAGATTTACTACCATTAGACCAAGAGCTTGAACGAACCTGCAGGAACTTCAAGTGGGCTTTAAAGGCGCGATTGGCTGCGGAGAAGGCTTTAGCACAGATGCAAATCACCGAGGAGGAAGAGATGGGTGACCCACAGGACTTTGATGTGGTCCTTCCCGAGGAGCAAACCATGGGGTACTACTGGACCACCAGAGCCGCGGACATGAGGTCGCCCATTCAGCACCCTCAAGTCCCAGCCAACAACTTGGAGGTGAGCACC